TCCCCTGAGCAACTTGAAAATAATTTCAAAAATGGTTTCACAGGAAAATCGGAGGAAGGGTTAGGCTGAACAGAGCTGGATTCATTGTGTGAACCAAGAATAGGCAGGCCTTTCTGTGGCTCATCTGTTCGGTGCCTCAGAAGGAAAGGTGGGGAGTTCAGGCCATGCAAGATCCTGCTGACCCATGGGGACCAGGTAGTTCTGCTTCCTGCACTCCCGTGGGTGTGGGCAAGGGCTTTGCAAGAGCCCTTCCTGCAGCCCCAGGGATGTGCCACACAGCTTGCCTCCTTCCCCAGGTGATCGGCTCCTGCAGGTAGACGGAGTGAGTCTGTGCGGCCTCACCCACAAGCAAGCTGTGCAGTACCTCAAGGGTCCTGGGCAGGTGAGTGCACCCAACCCCAGGGCTCTTCCCTTCCTTCTGGAATTTTTTTGGACAGCAGCAGAGGTTGCACTTTCCTCTGGGTTGGGGAGAGGCAGCCAGGAAACAAAACGTGACTTTCTTTTTCTATTTTTGCTGCCTAGCACCACTTTTCTCTGGGGCTGTGAAAGCCAGGAGACAGCAGACAGATGTTTCCAAGCAGAAAAGCTCTCCTATAAATAGCCTTGGTGAGATCGTGGTCCTTGCCTAGACTTAGGAATCAGACAACAAAACAGAGCTGGGAAAGCACAGCGGTTTTTCCATCCAGGCTCCCGCAGTGCCCCCTGCCTGTGTCACCCCATTGAGCAGTGCATCCTGGATCTCAGGTGCTCTCTCCCCTCACTTTTGTCCATGGGGCCCCTCACCCCAAGTTCCTGCTGTTCCCATCACCCTGTTTGCCCTGGGAGTCTCTTCACCACCACTGGGTAGTAAGTCAGGAGCCCATGAGTCAAGGACATCCATCCACCAGGGGCCCTTCTCTCCACGCAGTGCCCAGGCAGTATCTCTGGGTAACCAGCCATGTTCTGTCCTCTACTCGGGTGTGGGCACTTTTAACTACACCCAAGGAGGTCTGGCATTGCCCAGAGACAGGATTTCTGAAGCCTTCCCAGCAAGGTGCTGGGCTTCCTTTCCTAAAGGAGGTTTCTGTTCATGATGAAGTGCTCTTGTCTTGGTGACCTTGGTTGACATCCCTCCAGAACAGTCATTTTTCATTAGCACCCTCAGTTCTTCAGACCTTTGCCCATGAACGTGATTACAGAGGCTACCTGGCTGTGCTACTAGCATGACAACAGCTGCGAATAATCACTATGGAGTCATGAGCCTGGTGTTAAATGACACTGGCCACAGAAGGGTAGAAGCCAGCTGGCTACATGTCTGCATTGGAAGCTTGGCATTTCTAACCAGCTTCCAGGAGAAGTCTGGCCTTGGTTCCTTACCCACTTTGGTTAACCAGAGTATAGAGTGCTGTGGGGAAGAAGGATGGGAAGTCAAAGCAGACAGAAGGGGGTGAGGGTGCAGGCCGGCCTAGACCTGGGATGCTATTCTGTGGGTTTTAGAGACATTAGAGGCTTTTAACCAAGAGCGTTCCATGTTCAGCAGCAGCCATACTGGTTGGACCAAAGGAAATGAAGGCAGGATCTGGCAAGCCAGGCCACCAGAAACTTGCTGGAGACCAACTGGGCACTGCCAGTGGGGAGGGACTAGAGGAGGAGCACAGGGGGGGTTTGTTCCCAGTGGGGAGCTCAAGAGCCTTAAACCAGATGGGAATTTGGAGGGCAGAAGGGGGAACACTGGACCCCTCCACGTGTGTCCCTGGGGGCATAATGGGGGGAACGGTGCCTGTTTTGAGGGTGCAGATGCTAAAAGAAGACTGAAGCAGCATTAGGAAAGGGAAGAGGCTGAGTTTGGCACTGCATGTGGGCCCTGGAGGGACAGGTGTGACTCCCAGGTGCTTGTGTCAAGTGGGCAGGTGGCAGTACAGTCTGGATCCCACAAAGCCTAGACTGAAGACTGTGATTTCAGACTCCAAAAAGCACCTTATCAGAAGTATTAAAAAGAGGCAGAAGCCTTTGCAGAGAGAAAGGCATGGTGCCTGGTGGCTTCCCAGAGTATGAATTGAGTGTGTTCACCTGTCCTTCCAGGTTGCAAAGCTGGTCTTAGAGAGAAGAAGCCTAGGCATGGCACAGCAGCATCCTTCTGCTAATGACAGGATGGGAGACGAACATGCGGCGGTTTCCTTGGTAACAGCCCTGCCTGGCAGGCTTGCAAGCTGTGTCTCAGTGACAGATGGTGAGAGGGGAGAAATGGAGTGTTACTATTGTCGTGTCATTGTGTGCTACTTTGGAGTTGTCAAGTCAAAGGGGAAAGGCAGGAAGGCTTCCTCCGGGTTCTCAAAAAAAAAAAAAAAATGCGAGCAGTGCTGATTATGATCATAAGCCAAACGGATGGTATATGTTTCCGAAGCAGATGCATTGTTCCAAAATGATTACCAGGCATAATTCTGCCCCAAGCCTTCCTCAGTCTTCTGATCAGCTGCCCAAATGTTAATGCTTGAGAAGTATTTAGGGGTGGAGTTGGCATGAAAGGGTCGTACATTTTCAGATACACTTGGTTCCACGTTCCCGCCAAGGCATTTGTGATAGAGTTATCTGAGCACTGATCATGTGGGTGGAAGACAAAAGGTATTCAGAAAGCTAGCCTTGTTATTAGCATCATGTTAGAAAGCAAATGCGTACTCCGTTTAAGGGCCCAATTGTGCTAATTGCACATCTTTTAACAGAACAGATCCTTGCACATCTCTTGTGATTTGGTTTCCTGATAGGAAAAGGTTTATCTCCTTAGCATGTCATGATTTGGATCTTAGTCCCATGCCAAGCCCTTTCTCTGCAGTCCTGCTGCACAGGCATGGGACAGGTTAGGGGCAAGGCAACCATAGGGTAGGAGGTAGTGTGGAGGAGGGAAACATTCATCCATTTCCTCTTCCATCTCTGCTCTGTGTTCTCCAATGGGCACCTTTGCAAAGCTGACTCTGAACTGAAAAAAGGAGGCCAGGGCAGAAGTGGCAGAATTGGCTGTGCCACAAACCTCAACCTGACTCCAGTCTTTCTCCAATTGAAGTTCAAGAGCTGTGCCTTCATCCCCACATTCGTGGTTGCCAGCTGAGTTGGAGAAGGCATACTGGAAGAAACCCAGAAACTTCTTGGGCTGCCAGACTGCCTAGGTGTCCAGGGCTCTGCGCATCTTGGATGGCAAACCAAAATGGCAGCTGTCCCTAGAGTTGGCCATCAGTGTCCTCATGGTCTAATTAGGCAAAATTTAGTCCTGAGCATCATAAAGCACAATTAGGGTTCTACGAGAGCAATGCACACCTGATACAAGTTTTGCTTAATGCTAAGAACGTGCTGTGCATGCTCTCAAAGCTATCTCTCTCTATGCATTAATTGGCTATCTGTAATTGCACTGTGTAGCATGGTGGCCACATGTGTGTGACTGTCACACGCTTGAACTATAACAATCCAATTGAGTAAGATGCATGACAGAGGTTGAAGACTTAGTTCATTAAAAGAATGAAAAAATTAGTAATTTTTATATTGATTATATGTTGAAATAAGAATACTTCAGAACTGCAGATGGTCCCTAACTTAGAATGATCTAACCTACAGTATTTTTTGGCTTTATCATAGTGTGAAGTCCACACACACTCAGTAGAAGCTGGGCTCTGAATTTTGAGTCTTGATCTTTTCCCAGCTGGCAATATTTAGCATGATATGCGCTTGAGTTGTTGGGCTTGAGTTGTCAGGCAGTGCCGGCAAGTTGCATCCCCCATCAGCCCAATGACTAGGGTGGGGGAATGATTGATATTCTTTTAGCTAAGCTAGGATGCTTGATAGGTTAGATCATTTAAGTGCACTTTCAACTTACAGTATTTCCTATGGACAATGGGTTTACGAGGATATAACCCTATTGTAAATTGAGGGTTAAGTAAAATGCATCATTAAAGTTTATTTTCCAGTTTCCTTTCACTTTTTAAAAATGTGGCCATTGGAAAGCTTTGAAAAGAAACTTATGGGTTGTATTTGCAGTTCCTCTTATACCTCTATTGGACAGCACTGATGTGGATTAACAGGTATAATACACTCCACCACAGAAATGAGCAAATGACATCTTTCTATGCAAAACAGAAATAATTTTCCTCTGTGACAGTCTGCATGAGGAGGCCACTCAATGGTAGCCTACTGAAGGAGTTGTTTTTATCTATACCCCACAATCCAGGTCCTAAGTTTGAAGTCAGGCTGAGAAAGAACACCAATGGCCTGGGGTTCAGCTTCGTGCAGGTGGAGCGGGGAAGCTGCAGTCTCCTTCAGAGTGACCTCATTAGGATTAAGAGGCTCTTTCCAGGGCAGCCAGCTGAGGAGCATGGGGCCATCGCGGCTGGTGACATCATCCTGGCAGTGAACGGAAGGCCCACGGAGGGCCTCGTCTTCCAGGTGTGGGGCCACAAACATAGAAGCTCTAAATGCAGGTGGCCTTTAGCCACTTCCTTGAGCCAAGCCCGCCTCAGGCTCTTGGCATCCAGTCCTGACTTCTGTCCTGCAGACAGAAGTTGGCTGAATGGTCCTGCATTTAACTGTCCATCAGAGAAACTGGCCTGGACTTGGGCACTATGGGGCCACTGTGAGGCTGTAAGGGCTTCACTGGGGCCCCTTCTGCTCTCCTGCCCATTTCTCTGCTGATTTTACAGTTCCTGGTGCATTGTGTGACATTGATTTCCCTGCCTGTGATCAGGGAGAGAGAGAGAGAGGAAAAGAGAGAGAGAGAGAGACAGACAGACAGACAAACAGACATGAGCCATGATAGCAGCAGAAGGGTGAAGGCAGTGAAAGCAGCACCTGGGAGACAGTGGGGAGCACATATGAAGGGCTCCAGCGGGGCCAGCCCAGATCTCACTGCAGCTCTGGGTTTCTCATAGGAGGTGCTCAATCTACTTCGAGGGCCGCCCCAGGAAGTCACACTCCTCCTTTGCCGACCGCCCCCCGGTGTGCTGCCTGAGATGGAGCCAGTGTGGCAGGTAAGATGTGGTGTCCCCATCTCTGAACCTGGTTCCTGTCCAGAGCCCTGTACCTGTCTGTGGTCCCGAGTAGCCCTGGCTGCCTGGAGGGAGGCTCAACATCGCAGGAAGGTGCTGGCCCCAGCCATAGGGAGTCTCTGTCCTCTCTCTGACTCTTTCTCTTTCTCCAAGGAGCTCAGTCTTTACTCTCTAGGACTTCAACTGTTTGGATAAGGCCCAGCACACCATTGCTCTAAGTTACTTATTTAAACATTAACCACACCTGCAGAGAGATGTCTAGATGTGTCTGAGCAAGTGCCTGGGTCCCGTGGCCTTGCCAAGTTGGCACATGGTGTTATACATTGCCACTGCCCTGGGGACTCTGTGGGAAACAGATTGTTTGGCATGGACTCCAGTACAGGAAGTTGACAGGGCAGGCCCTCTGGACATCCCCTGTGATGCTGCTGGAAGCTGGCTGGGCAGAGGAAGAACCAATGTGGTGCAACCGAAACAGAGGCCTCAGCTAACACCACAGGGAGCTCTGGAGGTGGTACTGCTCCTTGGAGCATCCCAAATGGCACCCTGCTCTGACCAGCATCAGGGCGCATGGGCCCAGGGTAGGGGCCTGACTTTGGCTGAGGCACCTCCTGGGAATGCCTGGCTAGGAGGCATTAGGCCCTGTGCACAGAGGAGAAGCAACTGTTCTTGGTACCATGTAAAACTAAGATGTACACAGGCTGTCTGGAAAAGATGTCTACATGGGTAATAGTCTTGGAGACAGGGCTGAGAAAAGGGAATTAGCTGAGAAGTGAGAATGGGGAACCCTTGAGAGATCTGGGATAGAGGAGCAAGACAGATGGGATGGAGAGGCAGGGACATGGAAGTGGTAGGGAACCAGCACACTGTAGGTGAGCAGAGCAGGAGGGTGTGAGGCTCTGGGGCAGGAGAGAGGGAACTCTCAGCTGCACGTAGCTGAGCAGTGCTGTGAGATTTGTGGGGAGGGAGAATTGCCTTTTGTCTGGAGGATGACATAGGTCAGTGGAGACCCCCATTAAAGCCTTTCAATTGGGTGGGTTGGGGGGATGGAAGCCTGCTTGATGGAAGTGCAAGATAGAAGGGGCCATGTGAAGTAGTGAGGGCGGACACTCATCTGAGAATGCTGTCTGGTAAGTAGAGCACTGTGTGGGCTGGGGTGCAGGCTGCCCTGGAGGAATTTGACTGGCGGGATGGAGGGCTCTTATCTAAGGTGTCTATTCTCCCTGTGGAATGAAAGGCAAGGTGAGGAGAGTGTCGGAGACTTGAGAGGCGTGAGAAATCACAGAGTAGGAAGAAAGGAAAGTGTGTTTATTAAAGACTCAGAAAGATCATCTGGAAGTCTTGTGTGCCATTTGTCACCCACAATTATACACTGAATCTCAGCATGGGTGGAGACTCAGATTCTGGTATGAGGTCCACACCTAGGCCCACTGGGAACTGGGATCAACATGTGGCACCTGCAGGAGACAGGTGGAGGCAGAGAAGTGTGGGAGGAGGAGCTGGAGATCAGCTTCCTTTGTAGGGGAGCAACTGTGGGGCAGAATCACCAAATCTAGGCAGGGTCACAGGAACACTGAGGATGTGCATGGGGGACAGGGGGTGGTGAGAAAACAGCAGATGGTGGTCTGGAAGCCTTGCAGAGTGGAGGGACTGCTATGAGATAGAAGGAGAGCTGGAGCATCAGAAAGGAGATCTCAGTGGTCTCACCAAGAAACTGTGGGATAATGGCTCTTTCTCTACTTTTTATGTCATTTATTTTAAATTTTAATTTTTGGTATGTTCTTTGGTATGTACACAGTCTATCCGTGGAGCCATGTTTACAATTTACAATTAAGTGAGTGTGCGTTTTGTGAGCATGTCCCTCCATGGGTGCCAAGAGTGAAGATGCCTCTGTTATACCTGGATGTGGATGATGGGATGGAAGTGCCAGCTCAGTTTCTAGGAGAAGATAAAGTCATTACTCTGTAGAGTTATAAATAGGAATACATGCTAAAGATTTTTTAAAACTCATTCACACAGGGAAGCAGGCAGATGCTAAAATTGGTTCAAAAGAGATTTCAAAGAACATAATTATCTCTTGAGTTGTGAAATAGCTGTAAGACCATGCTTGTGGCTGGAATCAGAAAGCTGAGAACGATGAGCTGGGGACAAAGCCCGGTGTCCAAGGAAATGCAGGTTGTGGTGCTGCATAGCATTTTGCAGCACTAGCAAGTTGCAGCAGGGCCTCGGAGACAGAACCGCAGCACCAACAAGGCTGTGAAGAGTAGAGGAAAATCAAGTCACGTTTGGGGGAAGAGCCATGTGTTTCACTCCCTGGGGTCCAGGAAGTCTGTGGGGAGCTGATGGAGAGTAGCTGACCCCAAGTCTATCTCTTATTTGCTCTGATCTACAATAACATAAAAAATAACTTTTCATTTCTTGAAGAAGCAAGCTTTAGAGCTTTCCTAGTGTGACTATAGAGGCAGTAACCATTAGCTTTTCTTTTAATAGACACCGATGGGCAAAGAATTCACCAGGACGACATGTACAGATTCAGAGCAGAGCCCCAGCCTGGATCAGGAGGACAGCTGGAGGGACAGCACCTCCCTAGATGCAGGAGAAGGCCTGGCTCTTGGAGGGGCGCAAGGGAGTCAAGACAGGGACAGACCCTGGGCCAAGTCCTTGGCACTTCCCCTGCAGTCCCATCACTTATGCCAGCGTCACAAAGATTCAGAGGTGTCACCCCTGGCTACCCCTTTGGAACAGGATATGAGGCAGAACTGCTATTCTGTGTGTGACATCAGGAGACTTAGCAGGTAAGCCTTGCGACTTTGCAGACATTTTATAAATTGTGTATATTGCATTGCTAGATGATTACCAGGAAGTAATCAGTGACTATACCCAGATGTGTCCTGTGCCCAGCAGTGTTTCTGGGCTCTTGGGGGAGAGGCAGAAACAGAGGAGCATAGGTCTGAGTTGCTGCATCCACAACTTGTGAGCTTTGGGGAAACAAACCCCAGCCAGGCCATGATTGTCCCCAGGATGTTTTTCAGGCTGCAGATGGCAGATCTGGAGTGCTTTCCCAGCATGCAGACCTTTATCCTGCACCATCACAGCCTTTTAAACCACTGTGGTATGAAAGCAGTTGTAGTATGCATCCTCATTTTTTGTGCTAATAAAGCGTTAAAAATACATTTACACCTTCAAACCCAGACTGAAACCTTCACTTTAATAACCATTTTTTCATTTAGCCTATATTTTTGTGTCCATTCACCCTTAAGTGTTTCTAGTTTCTGGTCCTGTTGTCTGACAAGCATAATCCTCAGTTCACTCTAAACAGTGTCTATGATGTATACCCAATGTGCTTGGAAACCTGTTAGGAGCAGAGAGACGGGTACAAATGCAGGCTCAGCTGCTGCTTTTAAGCATTTGCTAGCTCAATGCATGGGCTCAAGACAGGCCAGTGTCATTTGTGTTTGTCACTGTACAAACCTGCTGGGATCAAATTGCTCCTATTTGGTGGCCATCCTAGGCAAGTGACTAGAGCAGATTCGTAGGGACTGGACCCGTGGGGTCTACATTTGTGGATCCAAGCCACCATAGATTGACTATATTAGAAGAAAAACTGCATCTGGATTTAACATCTACAGATTTTTTGTCATTACCCCTAAATAACACAATGTGACAACTGTTTATATAACATTCCCACTATATTTAGAATTATAAGTAATCTAAGGATGATTTAAAAAATATAGTAGGGTGTGTGTAGGTTGTACACAAATATGTGCTACATTTTATGTAAGGGACTCCAGCATCTGGGGACTTGGGTAACTGAGGGGGTCCTGGAACTCCTCCCCATGGACACAGAGGGCACTCATGCAGCAGTGGTGAGTGTTAGATAATGGGGCCCTGGGAGAAGAACTGTGACAAACAGGAACCAGGCACACACTTCTGGAAGCATCCAGATACAAGCTCTAGAAGAACAATGCACCAGCCAAACAATGCACAAATTTGTGCAGTAGAACAGGGTGGGCAAGCACATCCATCAGTGATTCTCATTTCCATCATCTGATAGTGACTAGAAACATCAGTGTATTTATTGCTGCCTTTAAGAGTGCACTCTAGGTAGTGCTTGATACACTTAACAAAATAATAAAGTGAATAACCTACAGGGATTTATCCAAGGACAACCATATAGGACATATACAAACTCTCTCTTCCTGCAGACAAGGAAACATTTGTTTGTATTTTTAAAGATTTTGCTACCAGATAGTTTGGGAGGATGAACAGGGACCCTGACTGCTGAATTACAAAGTGGCTCTGGATTCTTCACTGTCTCTATATTCCAGTACACTCAATAGTTACTTAAAGCAGATATTATTATTAATATTGTTATTTAGTAACCATCAGCATATGTAAGAAATGCTTCATTCCTGGTGCCATGGAATATCAGGCTGTTCAGTGTCAAATGGTTGAACCTAACCTCGTACTCCATGCACTGTAACATCCTGCTCTTAAGAAATACTGGCATTTGCTCAAATAATTCCAGGCACGCAGAGCTCAGTCCCACTTGAGGTGACCTATTTTATCACCATGCAGTCACTGATCAGAAAATGCTTCCTTATATTAAGGTGAAATCCACCTTCTTATGTCATCTACTTATTTTTTGTCATTTTTTTGGCAAAAATAATCACATTATTTAGTTTTTCTGAATCAAATTAAATTTTGCTTGGTGTTCTTACTTGCCAGGGTGTACCAGATGTCCAAAATCTGTCATTCTTGGAAAGGTCTCCCTTTGGAGGGTCACACAAGAGAGGCATTAAAGTTGTCCAGAACATTCTAGTGGAGCCTCTGATCTTCAGCTGTGGTACATGCAGCCATGGGCAGCAACTTTTCTGTGCACTTCTTGGCTTTATTTTTACCCTATTCTCTCTTTCCCACTCAGCAATCTTTCCACACCCCCCAAAGGAGGACTCAAACTCTGAGAGCTCCTCCAACAGGACATTAGCCTGTGCTCCACATGCATGTGGCTAGTGATCACCCCCACAGGAAAGAAAGCATGGCACTTGCCCAGCAGTCACCCAAGACAGTCCCCACTCTTGTTTAGGTTTGGAACTAGAATGACAGAGTGGGGTAATGGCTCTGTCAGACCTCCCTAGATGTGTCCGCAGTTCTCAGCTGGCTTTCTGAGACCAACAACCTCTTTGATTCTAACATCTGAGTCAAATCACTTTGTGCAGTTTAGAATAAACAGAGCAGGAACTTCAGGATCACAGAGCTTGTTTTCACATTTGCAACTGAGTGGTGTCCCTGGAGAGCTGATGTCCCTTCCTAGTTATAAACAAGGACCATGGCCATTCCACAAGTCACTGTGTAGGTCAAAAGAAAAACACATTTCGGCACCTGGCACACAGTAGGACTCAACACAAGTCTGTATGCATTCCCTTTCCTGTGCTATTTCTAGCTAAAGGACAGGTCCCATCAATTGAAATTCCCATCCAACTGCCAGAACGTACGATCTGCCAGGTGGCTACTTCCTAACACCAGATGGCTGCCAGCACCCTAGAAAAGCCAGAGTATGCTTGGAGAAGATTGCATTTTACTTTTTATTTCTCATTTTCTTCTAAATTCTATTCCTAGTGATTTTTAAAAATCAAGGAGCAGTAGATCCTTACAAAGCATGGCATTATAGAGAAGTAGTGTATAGTATATGTCGTGGAGGAAACTTGGGACTGTGTGCCTGTTATGAGGACAGCTTGGCTGGGATGCAGCTTATGCAAGGTTAATTTCTAAAGTTTGGGTAGGAGGTGAAAATCACATTAAGGCACGTTACCCCTGAACATCACTTTGGATAGTATGATGCTATATGCTTCCCAGGTATGGGAGCAAATCATTTTTTCATTGGTTGAACCCTAGTTAAAAATCTAAAGGCTTGTATTTATGGGATGTGCTCTTTGTAAAATGTATATCCAGGAGCTGAGACTGCCTGAGGAGGTGGAAGTTTCCCTGCTCCCACGTGTTTAGGGTGTGTATCCAGTAAGTGGAAAGCTGGTCATTGCAGAACATTTAAAGTCATTTCTTTCTCCCTCTTTCTCTCTCTCATATAGAGTTGACTCCATGTAAGTAAAATACATGTAAATTCACCAAGTATCATTCTGTAAAAGTAATAATGTAAGTCTTTGTGGTCACTTAAGAAGGTGAAGTAAAGCAAGAGTCCTTGAAATGGACCTAAACTGACCAGACCCATTCTCAGAAGGCCACTGTGCCTGGAAATCAAGGGATGCTTAGAAGACTAAAGGTTTAACTCAAATGTAGGTGCCAGGCCATCTGTGATGAGAGCAGCTCGTGAGGACAGAAGCTGGCTGGGTGGAAAGGGTAAGGCGCAGCCCAGCCAGGACCAGTGGTAGCCTAACACACAGCAGGGCCTATGGCAGGCAGAGGTCTGAATGCTGCCTTTGCAGGGTTCTCTCACACACCTCCAGGGTTCCAGAACAACTCACCTCCCCAACCACAATCCCTCTCTGACAACAGTTAAACACATATCTCTAGCTAGGGCTTACCGTTGGTGCTTCAGATCTGCAGTGCCCTGGTCTTCTCTACCTTGAGGTCTTGGAACTGCTGCAAACTGACCCTCCAAAAGCTAAGTGCAGCTCATAGGAGCAGAGGCCCAGAGCTTCCAGCTGCACTCCTAGGGTCAATGGGACAGTAGGGTGGAGCCTGATGCTAGAGAGGCAGAGAAAGCTGAGCCTTACTGGAAGAGACACAAAACCTAACTTTATTGTGAGTTTAAGTGTGAGGAAATAGACAATTATGATACCTTAACATTTCAAATCTGAATGCTGTCTAATTTGATTTGTCTTCCTGAGAGGTGGAGATGACTTGGTGGTTCAGATGTCTGACAGACAGCTGCCCAGGGAGCTGGAGCATGGGGTCTTTTCTCTGTAAATGTCCCTAAGTGAGCTGAGCCTTCAGAATGATTTCATGCTTCAGAGCTGAACTGAGGTTCCTCTCACAGAAATAGGTGCAGAAGAGCTTCAGGATTTGGTGGAGCCCTGCCTGCGTGTGGGGAAGGGGGTGGGCGGGGAACCAGTGTAGGGTACCTGGGTTCTAAGTGCCCTGACTCCTTCAGGCTTCAGTAGGAGTCAAGCTGCACTTGTCTTGGAAGACCTGAGTGGCCTTGAGGCCTGGTGAAGGCCCCAGTGTGCGCTGTCACCTGGCACATCTACATACCAAACACCTGGTCTTGCTCTAAAGAATGCTATTGTCCTCAAGATTCCTCAGATCACCACATCTTGCCCTTTCCATGAAATGGGCTCTGTCTTGGGGTGCCCCTCTAGTGCTCCTTCTTTCGTCATTGACATTTTCCAATGCCCGTGGTCAAATTCAAGGTCAGATCTCCAAGGGCAGCCTGGTAGCACATGTGGCAGGGCAGAAGGAAGGGCTATCATTTTCCTGGGCTTGTGGAAGGAGAGCCATGGTTTCACCCTCAGGGCCACCAAGTCCCCCTGGATGGGCCGCCTGCTTGCTTCTTGTCCCTGAATCTGGTGGCCTCCAGGTCTCTGTCCAGGCAACACCAGAAGCTGCAGCTTCATAGGAAAGCTAGAGAGCTCATTAAAAGGGTGGAGGGAGTGAGCAAGTGAGGGAGACAACCAGGGGGTACAGTGGCCAGTGGGCAGCTGTGCCATGTGCCCTCAGGGTGGGGCACAGGAGGCTGGGCCTTCCTGGGCAGCAGGTCTGGTTTCCTGTTTTTTGAGAAAACTTCCTGGATGCTTCCCTTCTGTGTTTATAAGAAAGCACAGCTTCTATATAATTTGGGCAAGTACTTTACACTTTTAAATCAATTTTCCCTCCAAGCACTTGGCAATTTTTAAATACTTTTTCCCAAAAGCGAATGTTTCTCTTTATTTAGTCCATGTAGAATCCTTTTTACACACGTGACCATGCATATATTTACATGAAGTGCACTTTTACACACCACCCCCCATACCTTTCAGGAGCATAAATCATGTCTGTTTCACAGCAAAACTCAGGTTGGGACAGATGGCGTTGGGGTGTTTGGGTGGTGGCTTATACCTATTGAGGGGATCGGAGCCAATGTTGAAAGAAAGGGTGCTTTGGGGCAGGGGACAGGAGGTGGTGTGGTGGCTGGGGGTACCAAAGCCAACTTGATTTTGGGGTGGGGAAGGAGACTGAGAAACAAGGATCCAAGAATTTAGCAAAAACTAATCTCTGTGCTTTTCTCTTAGATTCTCTCTCTCATCCTCTCTAACCAGACTTGCGACAGATATTTTCTGAGCACCTCTCAGCAGGTCTGCTACGCTGCACAAAGCATGCTGCCTGTGTGGGGAGCTGGGGGCAGCCCGGAAGGCTCATTTTGTCATCTTTTCATCTGCGGCTGCATCCCTAGATAAGAAGCCACACTGTTCCTCTGCCTCTTTTGTCCTTCCCGTGACACAGGGAGTAAATGTCACTCCAGCTGGCTGCCTCCCTAAATAGGCATTTTTTCAGCACTCAGAAAAAGACCTGATATTTGCACAAAGTGCTTTGAAGGTCGCCTGCTTGAGCGGCTCTGGAGTTCTTTGGCTCTCTCCCTCTAACCCCTTGTTGGAATAGTCGTTATCATTATAGTCATAATAGCTGCTCGCACTCACTGCAAGCTCACTGTGCCAGGAGCCATGGGAGCTGTGAAAGGGGTTGTTTCAACGTCAGCATCCTAACTCCCCTATGCAGCTTAGGACCTTCCTGTCTTTTTTTTTTTAATGAGAAAACTGAGGTCCTCATAGAGTTAATAAACTCATCCAGGCTCTGTGCAGCTCTGCTTACCACGTGGAAAATCTGTGCTAGACCTGGGTCATAGCTCTGCTTGCCATGCTGCACCCTCTGGCAATTCCCCGATGGTCCCCTGGGCTTGGGAAGCTGCCTGCTGCTCTCATAATGCTCTTAGCTGCCTCTGCTTCCTCCTTGGACTGTAATATGTGTGTGCTGCTCTTTATTTTCATGATACTGGGGCCTCCTTCAGGCAGGTGCCATGCCTTCTTTGCTGTTTGCTTCTCTGTGCCCAGAGCCACCTCTGGCAAGAGTGGCTTGAACCCTGGCTGGGTCTTACCTGATGCATCATGGGAAGACAGAGTAGGAGTTCCTGACCGAGGCTGGAAGACATACAGTTTCTGTTTTCTGGTCTGGGATTGGACAGGGACCATGTTGAAGGGGACACGTGCTATCCACCAGAAACCCTCTTCCTCACCTGGGAGGATGAAGAGTACCTGAGCATCCACTGTACGTCCGAAGGCCAGCTGCCCTGTGGAGACTGTTTGGAGGTGGATTCGGGGACCATTCCATTGCCACAGTTCTGTTCTGGGCATGCTTGTCCAGAGTCCTGGCCACTGGAAAGGAGTCATGGGAGTGACAGTGAGTGGGAAGACCTGGAGGACCCTGAGGACACAATGAGCAACACCCTCAGGTGGGTACTGTGTGGTCTGGGAGGGGTAAGAAAGAGCCCTGCCCAGGGGCTCCATGTTTTGAGTCCATGTGAGCTAGAGTGATGGCCTGTGAGTGTCACCAAGTTTGTTGGTGGCCCCTAGGGGACATCTCAGCAGCCATTTTCATTGAGTGCTCACCATGATCCTTGTTCTGTAACAATGACCCTACAAGGCGGGACTATCGTTGACTCCATTTTACACGGGAGAGGAATTCCAGCCCCGGTCCCCACACCAGGGCTCACATGCCCAGTACCTTTCTGTGCTGCCTGGTGTGGGTGTGGCCACACCCTCTCACCTGAGGCCCTTCTCCTAGGGACTGCAGGTGCAGAGCCCATTAGTTGTGTCTCCTGCTGGGTAAACTTCTAAGTCTTGTATCAGGGCAATGGGGCCTCTTATTGCACCGCAGTGCAGGGTGCAGATCAGAATCAAGGAAGTGCAAATTATTAATGCCAGGAGCCCATGAGCCTGAGACAGGGCCACCAGGCCGGGGTGGGTGCACAGGAAGGAAGATCAAGTGTAGCACAGACCTCGGTCCTGGAGTGAAGGAGGTTAACTAACTCCTGGACATGTAGGCAAACAGCCAACATCCTGGTAAAGCATAAGGAGTGTAGTTGCAGTGTAAAATTTGCTGACTGCTCCAGAAGCTTTCACATAAACCTATTTCCAAGGCCCATTGAAAGTGGCCAAGGCTTTGGTATATGAAGATTTTGGAATAACTGAAACACACTTGTTCGCTTTCATCCCATGGTGTCCCAGTCGCACATCCCCAGGTGTATGAAAGAGAGTTTTGCATGGTAAGTGACTGAACTGGATTCTCAGAGGAGGATAGCAGGCGAACTGATAAGGAGGGTAGATATTTGAAATTCAAATACGATGTTAAAAACCCAGGTTCTTATCGGAAATGAGAAGCAACAAGTTAATAGGGTGATTCCAAGGCTTTTAAGGTAGTGCTTGGCATTTGTGGAGGAAGTCAGACATCCTGACAAGGTTGGAAGGCACATTATGGATTCACAAAACTAAGGAGTGAGGAGACCTTCCCAGTGGGGAAGGGGCTGCCTGGGGGTTGGGAGTTGAACAAAAGAAGGTTGGGCCCTCTCTGACCACCTAAGGTCGAAGGTGGGAACTAAGGATCACAGTGCAAGGCACAAGTGCAGAGAAGCAGGGTCAGGGTATTTGGAAAGGACTGGGGGGTCTAGCTCCAAGCCTGGCCCTGCCCCCGCTAGTTGAGTGACCTGCAGCAAATGACATTTAAACCAAGATGCAGCTGCTTGTCCTCTGGAGACAATCAGACCCACCTCCTGCTGTCACCGTAAGGGTTAGGTGACAACATGTGCCAAGAGTCTACAAAGTGCTAGCTATTTTTATCACATGTGTAAAGAGGAAATTGCTTCAGTGAGATGATATAAGCTTTCAAACACATTCAGTTGTATTGATTTTTTCTATGTATACAGTGGAACTGGGCTCGTGCCCTGGTGTGAGATGCGGGATGGGGAGAAGTTCTCACGTATGGTGAGGGTGGCAGGGTCTGGGTGGACTGACAGCCTCAGCTGTGGGCCATGGCTTGGGATAGTCCTGTCATACTCTTTTGTCCTGCACAAGAAGGAGAGCAGGTCACATCCTCCCTTGAGGACAGAGTGTGGCTTTCAGGTGTTGATGTTCCAGGCATGAACTCTTGGCTTGACCTCCACAAAGTGGTCCATGCTACATGTGTTCAGGGACACTCACATCTAAACATTTATGCTTCTTTTGGAAAAACCAGCTCTGAATATTTTTTACCTTCTCCAAAGGGCCCATAGCCCTCAAAAGGTTAAGGACCCCTGCTGTGTACATTGTCTCATTCACCCTGGGAGGTGGGAGACATCTCAGAGGAGATAAAGAGGACTTTGCTTAGGAATGGCTTAGTGCATCCTTTAAACCTCATTTTGATCACTTTCCTCATTGCTAGGGCAAAATATCAACATCTGAAATTTAAAGGAGGAGAGGCTTATTTTGGCTCGTGGTTTGTAAAGGTTTCAGTCATAGTCAGCTGGTTCTAAGATTGGGCGACATGACAGAGGGGCCTGGCGGAGGAGAGCTGCTCACAGCACGGTGGGCTGGAAGAACAGTGAGTGCAGGAAGAAGTTGTGGGGGGAGATAAACCCTTTCAGGTTACAATCCGAGTGACCCACCTCTTCTGACCAGACCCCACCTGCCAACCACAGTCAGCTATAAACCCCTAGGATCCAGTCATCCTCCAAAAGCTCCACCTATGAGCACATGAGTGTTTGGGGGCCATTATAGATTTAAACTATAATAAACCTATATCCAAATTTTTCTATTTGATCCTTTTAGACAGTAAGACAATTATAGTAGAAAGCTAGTTTCTGTCAGTGATTTAAATCCTCGCATAAATTGTGAATGGTGTTCTTATTTCTGTTTTCTAAGTGGTTTAGCAGGTTTTAAAATTTGTCCAGGATCATATCATGAGGGGATTCACATGCATCCATGTCACTCTACCTTTGGCGCATTTTTACATTTCCCACAGAAGGTGTTTGTTCATGGGACTCTATAATCCATATGTCTTTCTACAGGTGGCATGAGGGTTACAGTTCTCTTGTATGAGGCTAAAAACTAACTAAATAAACCAAACCCACAGCTCAGTAGGATTATAAGAAGGGAACTGAACTATTCAATTTAGGGAAAAGTGCAGGCCAAATGGTGAGGCCACCCACTAAAAGCTGCGTGTTGTTTTAGGTAAACACAGAGTGCCAACCAGTCTCCTGGGGTAGGACCTCAGGGTTTCTGAGTGGTGACCCCTTTGGTGGAAGAGACTTCAAATGACTTTGATCCAGAGAATGTGCCCACCAGCTCTGTCACCAGGAAAGATGATGACTTGGGATGGAGCCTCTGGCCCAGGTGTTGAGGGATAATTCTAAAGGAAGATGCCTGTCATTTCTGAGACTCCTTTTGAACAGCTCTGGAATTTCACTCAAGGAAAGTTCTATGTGTGTGTTGGGGTGAGGGTGGGGTTTCTCCTCGAGAAAGGAGTTGGGAACCAACCTTTTCCATCAAAGCACTTTGGGCAAGGGCCTGGCACATACCTCCTGGATGCATGCAGCCTTCCTCATTCAAAGAAGGAGTTTCTGTGGTTCTAAAAGTGCCCCAGTTTGCTGCCAGGAACCGGTTAAGGGATTTTGCCCAAAGCCCATGGTGAAAACATGTTTTGATATCTTTCTGCATGTTTCCCATACACCCTCAAACAATTATGCATTCCTTTAAAGGGATTTGTCTTTTGTACTTAACACCTGATTCTAATGATTATATGAAGAAAAAATAAGATGGGAATATTGAGAAAAGTGAAGTAGCAGACCCAGCATGATCTTAAGACAGATCACTGCTACCATGACAAAAATTAAACCATGTCAATTTGCAAATGCACAAAAGGAACAGACCTGGAACATACTTGGCACCACATGACAGGAGACATATGGCAGAGTCAAGATCTCACAGATACAACTGGTGCAGGTTGGGAGGGAGAGAACAAGGGAGAGAAAGAGAGAGAGAAAGACAGAGAGACAGAGACAGAGACAGAGACAGAGACAGACAGGGACAGAGACAGAAAGAATCCAGACAGAACAAAGTTTGAAAAGCTTTCTGCTCTAAAATCCAATTTACACACTGCTCTATATTTGCTTTTGTTTCTAATCTTCATTTCTTCTTGATAGAAAAGTCTTGTAGGTCATGACTTTTTCCGCTGTTACTGAAAAAGAAATTTCCTGGGAACTGAACCGTCTTATTTCAGATTCTTCAAGCTTCAATGCCTCACAATTAGGGAATTAACCAAGTATGCAATGAAGTGAATAAATGACAGTGTTTACCATTTTGAACTCTGGTTGCTTCTTTCCTCTTTGGAGAAGAAGTGTGGGATATAGAATCAAATGAAATGAGATCCCCTCCTTGTAGGAAAAGACCCCTCCCCGCCAGGCCCATAAGCCTTCACTGAGCCATTTCTCTTGATGAGCCTGTTAATGTGCCATTTGGAACTTGGCTGCAGCCCCGGTTGCTTGGTCTCAGGGCCAGTGTCAGGAAGAATGGCACCTCCCAAGGCACACTGCACCCCTGTGCACTGCTCCTACTTTTGGCCTCTCCACTAAATGTTCTCAAACTTGCCTGTGTGTGAGAATCAACTACAGAGGGTGGTAAGAACACAGATTCCCTTGCCTTTATCCACGAGGTTGTGAATCAGCAGGACTGGGGTGAAACCCAGAAATATGTAACTTTTTCAGGCTTAGCAGATCATTGTTTGTATGACCAGATTTGGGGACCGCTGGTCCAGGATCTTTAAGATTTCCCTTGGCCCTCTTGTCCTCCTTCCCTGCTATAAATATTTAGTAAGTCTCTATTATAGGCTAGCATGCTATTGGGATGAGGTTGCTGATGCACATACACATTCAACATTAAACTGTAGTGGACTAATCACTCAAAAGTAGTAAAAACATCACTGCTCCCAAATTAATTTACAGGACCAAATCAATTCTTGTCACAATTCCAGAAACATATCTTGTAGTCATAAACAAATTTATTTTGAAGTTCATTGTACAAAAAATTAGAGAAAATCTTTTCAGTCTAAGATTAGGTAAAGAGTTCTTTGACAACACAAAACATAGATGTGTAAACAATTTTTTTCTGTAAAGGCTTTTGGCAAGAGGATTAAGGAAAACTTACAAACTACAAGAAAGTGTTCATAAACAATATATCCAACAATGGGCTAACATCTAGTGTTTTCGATACTTTTCTTCTTGCTGAGACAAAATATCTGACACCCAAAGTTAAGGGAGTAAAGGTTTATTTTGGCTCACAGTTTGTAGAGGCTTTAGTTCATTGTCGGCTGCCTCCAAAGCAGGGTGGTATAGCAAAGGGGCATCACAGAGGAGAAACTATTCATGGCAGGCAGAGAGCAGCAAAAGCAGCAAGCAGCAAGCACCAAGCACTAAGCACCAAGAGTGGTTGCAAACAAAAAAACAAGTAATGACTGGTGCCTTCCTTCTGTCCCTTATATTCTATTGAGGCTACATGCCCTTAGCATGAGTAGCACTCACACCAGGGTGGGCCTTCCCATTGTCCACACCCAGAATGATGCCAAACTTATCAGTGGGCTAATTTAGTGATGCCAGCATTACACACTTAAACTTAGCATCATACACTCTAGATCCAGCCACTTCTGAAGAGCTCCACCTGTGACCACATGAGTCTTTTGGAGGACATCTAGACACAAGCCATAACATCTAGTATACATGAAGAATTCTCAAAACTCAGCAGAGAAACCAAACCCAATCAGAAAACTGGCAAAGGACAGTAGCAGATATTTCACTGCAGACGATATACATATGTGTGCAAATAAACACATGGAAAGATGTTCAGTTTCATTAACCACTAGAAAAATACAAACTATGCCATTGTAAAATATCTTCACACAAGTGTCAAAATGGGGTAAAATAAACAAATGGGCACCACACCCAAAGTAGTGAAGATATAGAGAAAATGAATTGCTTATACATTGCAAGAAATGGTGTAAAATAGTATGTCCAATCTGGAAAAGTGTGATAGGAGCTTATTATGGTTTGTGTCTAGATGTCCCCTCAAAACCTCATATATTTGTAGGGGGCAGACCTTTTAGGAGGTAGGTGAATCTAAGGTTTGTGATTGATTCATAGTGCAATCCTGGGACTAAAGGTGCTGAGATTAAAGCTGGGTAATTGCTGGATTACTCCACTGATTAAATTGGCAACACCCTAATCCCAGCAGTCTGGATAAAATAAAAGGGGCAGAAAGAAGCTTGTTTCCTCTTTTTTGCCCTCCCTTGCTGTTTTTGCCATCTTCTACCTCCATAAATGGTTGCCTTTCTGCCATGTGCTACCCTGCCATGGAACCACCCGATGATGGACTGAAACCTCTACCAACGGTGAGCTAAATAAACCTTTCCCCCTTTATCTTTGGGTGTCAGGTATTTTTGTCTCAGCAGTGAAAAAAAAGTAGGACATAACTTGTAAGACTAAGCATGCAAAATTGGCACAAGACACAGCAATGGCACCTTACATGTTTAACCTGGAAAAATTAAAATGTATATTTACATAAACACTTCACACAAATATTCATGGCAAGTTTATTCCTAACAAGTCCCAGACCAGAAACAAGCCAAGATACTTCAAACAATTGAATTATGAAACAAAATATGGGGATCTGTAGGGGGAGAAGTGAACCTTGACACACCAGTGTGGATGGAACTCTAGGGAATTATGTCGAGCAAAAGAAACCAATCCCAACAATCTCAAAAGGTAGTACAACTCTGATTCCATTTAATAAACCTCTTTAAAATGATAAAATTATAAAAATGGAGAACAGATTAATGGTTACTACTGGTTAAGGAGGCCGGGAAGAAGCGTGGGTGGGAGGGGAGGATGACAATGGAAGCGTGACAGGAGGGGCCCTCATGATTATGGCAATGTCCTGTGCCTTGACTTTGGTAATGTAGTGAGTGTGTGAATCCACTTGTGATGAAAGCTTATAGAGTTTCACATGCACTTGCCTGCATATGTTACACACACACCCTTCTGCACTAATAAAACTGAAAAAATCTGAACCAGATGGATGAACTGTGTCAATATCTCTACCCCAGTTGTCATATTGTATTACAGTTTTGCCAAACTCTAGCATTGAGGCAAATTGGTAAAAGGGCACAGGGGATCATCTGCATCGTGTCTTCTAATTACATGTGAATGTATAATTAATTCAAAGTAGAAAATGTTTAATAAAAAATGGAAGTGGGCTTCCCAACTCTCTTTTAACCATCTAGTGCTAAGACAAGTTTCACAGAAAGTCATAGAGCCACTGAATGAGAGCAAAGGCTCTCAGCCTCAGGATTGACTATTGCCCACAATTCCTCAATAACTCATTTAACTAGTGCCAGTCTGTGGGTGACAATCATGGAGATAAACAGAGTATTGGATAAGCTTTAGCTCTCTCTGCTCTGTTTCAGCTTGGCACATAGGTATATATTTTGTTTTTTGATGCACTTTATTTAAAAATTTTTTAATGATGTATTTTTATTAGTACATGTTTACAGCACATAATGATTAGATTTATCGTGGGGAGTTTGTATATGTACAGGACACATCTTGATTCTTTTTGTCCCCTTCACCTCCCACACTTCCCTGTGCCCTCCAACTTTTGATTCCTTTCCCATTTGAAAAGGCTCTATTTAATGAGTGCTTACTGTAAAATAGGCTGCAGGGCAGCCCAGGGGACAGAGGGGCTGTGTTTGGGGACATTCCAATGGGAACCCACTTCCTCTGGAGGAGGTAAGATACAAAAACATGAAGCAGTGCTATAGTCAGTGGGACTGATGCTGGAGTGAAGCTATAGAAGTAAGTGTCCTATTAGCAGTAGAGATATTCTTTCCTCCAAAGGCAATATTAATCATGCCTGCAGGGAGGCTTTTGGGTGGGGTAGCAAGGCATCACTCTGAGAGGAGGAGTGTACACTTTAAAGGGCTTGGCTTGTAGGAGTGAGGGAGGGGAAGAAGGGCCGGGATGGGACAGACTGTGAATGAAGTTTGGTCCCATACATTTAGAATTTGAGGTCTTCCTAGCTATGGGACACCCTGGGTGCCATGGTGTGATGACACTGCATTCACCCTCAAGACATGGCTTTGTCTATAGAGATCGGTAGCAGGACTTAAGGCCAGCTGTGTGGAGCATCAATGGACAGAGGGAGCAGGGTCTGCAGGTGAGTGCAAGGACACAATCCATGGCAGTGGGTGGAGTAAGGGGGAGCAAGAGGGACACTGTGTGTTTTTCTATTATAGGCTGAGAGACCAGATCATCTCATCTTTGCTAAGAAACAGCTCAAAATCAGCAGGTTATGAATCTACCCTCTCTGCCCCAGTTCCTACATAGGTACAGAGTGGACCATCTATTGTATTTACTATGTATTTACGCTCTATAGGTACAGAGTGGACCGTCAATTGTCTCTTCAGCAGCCTCTCCCCCTCCTTCTTACTGCAGGATAAGTCCCAGCTGGCTTTCAGGAGCCCTCCCTGGTGTTGATAAAACTAGTGGTTTTGTGAAATACACAGATATTTTGGGACTTTTAGAAAGTTATCCCCCATGTACCTGCAGGGAGAATTTCCAGAACTTACTTATGTATCCCACTGGAGGGCTCCAACAGCCTTTCCAGGACCCAAAAAGAGGAATCAGTACTAAAAAGAAACCAGACAGGTAATCTGAGCAATGTAGTTGAGGATAGTGATATGTAATGTAACAACCACTGTTGATTAGTATTATTTTGTCTTGAGACTCTGTATCACTTTGAATGTTCTTACTTTGATTTGTTTATGTTTGTGATACTGGTACACTGCTACTGTTTTATTTCTTTGTTTCTCATTGACTACTCTCTTTAAAATAAAAAGAAATAAAAAATAAAAAGAAACTAAACAAAACTTGCCAGAGCAAGAAGATGATGAGAAACAGAGGTCGTTATTGACATAATGGAGCTGTGTGATCCCTGGACATGAAGATCTGCCCTCCCTTGGTACTGGAGTTCTCAGCACAATGACTGAGGTTTAAGCCAGTGAGAGGTATACTTTCTGTTCCAGTTGCAGGTGGAAGCCTTCTGACTTACACAACTGGCTGGCCCCAAATTCTGTCCTCGAGGACCCTGTCTGTCAATGACTCAAAGACAGAGGTATCTTTCTATTTTGATCTTTTGGGATTTGTTTCTAGCCAGGCTCTCCTCCACTGGAACTTTCAGTTTTCCTTTCACCATTTTGAAAAGAGTTCTGAAATGGATGGTCCAAGGGTTGCTGAGCATACCATCCTTCCACTAAGGAAGTTAACAACTGGAAGAGTTAAACACAGCAGTGGGTAGAGGATGCACAGAATAGCTCGGTAGAACCTTCCAGGTGCAAGCTCTGTCCCAGGCCGTCTGTGTTGGAACCACACTGGACATTCCCCACAGCTAGGTGGTCACACAAGTTCTGGTGATGGTGGGGCAGGGCTGTGTGATTTCTGATCAGAGTTATGAGTAGAAGTGATGTGCACCAATTCCACACTGGTATATTTAACAGCAGGCAAGGGACCCTCCTCCAGGGTGTTCTTTCTGTGTGACACAGTGATCATCATGTGATGAGGGAGAGTGCCACTCCCCCAGCCTGCCTGGGAAGTCAAGGAGCCCAGAATGGAGCTGCCTGCTGACCAACACAGACAGGTGCTGAGAGCAAGAAGTGAACCTTTCCTCCTACAAGTGGCTATGATTTGGGGCTTATTCATTATAGCAGAAGCATATAGCTTATTCTGACTCAAAGAATGTAAGTCATCTTTATACAGAGAAACTATGACCCAGAGAGTTTCAATAATTTGAGGTCACACATAAAGAGCAACCTTGAAATAAACCCCAGGCCATTCTAGAATAGAGTCCAGGCCCCTCTCACTCCATGATGCTGCTCCTGAGGACTGACAAAGTGTTTTGTCATTTTTATGATGTGGTCAGATGCAGTCATGAAAAGTGAGAGGACTGGCTCAGGAGAAAGAAAGGCCATTGCACTCACAGGGCCACATGGGGAGGCAACAGGATGATCAGAAGTTGGGAGACAGGCCCAACAGGGGTGCTGAGCCCACAGCCTTTTGGGGGATTACCATAGGAAAGGCAAGGCAGGCAGGGCAAGCAGCTTAGGATTGGCCAATTTGAATTGTTCGAGCAACTTTGGGTCATTAGGGGTATCTGGTCCTGGGGTGATTAAGAAGAAGAATTTTGCAAAGGTAAGCTCCCGTCTTCTGGCCCTGCCCACCCTGGGCCTTGTGTGGCCTGCATGGCACACTGTTTCTAGGACCTGTGAGTATAAGGGACTGTGCTGCCTCGAGCCCCTCCTCTGTCTCCTTCCTGTGGCTTTACCTAACTGATCACCTGTTATGGTTGATACATTGTATCAACTTGAGAAGTTTAGAAGTTTAAGTGACTCAGCAGGGGGCCAGGGCCCTTACTTTGTAAACATCCTCAACTTATGGAAGAGGAGGGCACAGAGATGGTGTAAGTATGGGCAAATAGACCATATACAATATAAGGGAGGAAAAGAGGCTTGCTTCCCCTACCTTGTGCTCTTGCTGCTTTTGCTGTCTTCTGTAGCCTTGAACTGTTGCCCCTGTGCCATGCCATCCTGCCTTGGAGCCACCTGATTATCGACTGAAACCTCCACAAACTGTGAACTAAATAATCCTTTCCTTCCTTAATTTTGGGTGTCTGGTATTTTGTCCCAGCAATGAGAGAAAAGTAACTCAGGCACCACCTCATACGAGATTACAAAACTGGAACCACAGGGGGAGAGTGGTCCTCATGACTTAGAAACTCCTTTGAGGAATATGGAATAGGCAAGAAAGTCTTTCACTTTGATTGGAAGGTTGTGTGATCCTTGCTGCTTAACATGCTTAACTCATATCAAGGAAGTGTCTGCTCGCCCCAGGCAGATAAACACACATGCTCCTTGCTTACTGCCTTTGACGGCCAATCCTATGGGGTAACATTTGCATTTCTTAGCATGGCATGCAGAACATAGCTGTGGTTACAACCCAGTTCTCCAGCTCAATCCCATCTCTTTGACCATCTCTCAAATTCTGTCCTTCTCTCAGAGCCCCTTGGAGCTCCTTGTAGCATGCTCCCACCCTCCTTCCTGTGTTGCTCTGTGCTGAAGACCCCCACACAGCGTGCTGTCCCTTCTCTGTTGATTACTCATGCCTTAGAAGTCACCTCTCCATCAAGCCAGCAGCACAGTCATCATCCACCTGTAACTCATAAAGGTTCAGAGGCTTAGGAGCACCAGAGTGGAAAAATTCCTTGGAAAAGAGTAGCTTCAATATAGTCTTAGTTACTTTCCTTGTCACTGGGAGAACATCCAAATATCTGCAACTAAAAGAAGGAGAGGTTTATTTTGGCTCACGTTTTAGTTCTTAATCAACTGGTTCCAAGGCAGGCTGGCATGGCAGAGGGGTGTGGTGGAGGAGGGCTACTCACATCATGGCTGACAGGAGGCAAAGAGTGAAGGGGGATCCAGGAGGGAGATAGACCTTTCTGGATCACACCACCAATGATCCATTTCTTCTGACCAGATCCCACCCCCTAATAGCACAGTGAGCTTTAAACTATGAATACAACACCCCCATGATCCAGTCACCTCCCCCAAAGTCCTATCTATGATTGTATGAGGTTTTGGGGGGGACATCTAAATATAAACTATGACACCATGGCATTTCCCCTTCTAATTCAGTTTCCTTACATTGGGGAGGACAGGGAAATGGGGTGCTGGTCCTTCACTGCTGGCCATGTGAGGAGGAGTAAGAAGATAATGGGGGGGCTTGACACATTTCTTCTGCAAGGGCTTGGTGTTTGGCATGTGCCCGTGTAATCTCATGGAGAGAGGTGATAGCTGGAACAGTATGCCTGCTGGCGCAGCAAAGAGAAAGAGGACTTCCCCAAGAGGGAGATGCCAATCTCCATCTCCTGGCAAGGATACGGAAGCCCTTCTTATACAGTTGTCTTAATCTATTCCAACTGCTATGACATAATACCTTAGGCTAAGGAATTTATGGATAACATAAATTTATTTCTCACATTTCAGGAGGCTGAGAAGCTGAAGATGAAGGGATGAGCCAACTTGGGGTTTGTTGAGGATCTGTTTGTGTGGAGCAGGCTGTGTCTGCTGTGAGTCATGCTGGGCTGTACAGAGAAGTAGCTTCTGGGCTGTGCCTTACCTTGAGTGTCTCCACTTATGAATCAGCCATTTGCTCCATTTTGGGTGCAGATGCGGAAGCAGGGTGACATGGTGACTTGTCTGAGCACACAGATTACCACCAGATATCGGACACCCCACACCAAAAAGACCAAAAAGAACAACCTGGCTGCCCAGCACAATCCCAAGGCACCAAATGATGCCCACATTAGTCATGCTACTAAGAGTGTCCCCCTATGAACTTATCGGGTTGCATTGGGGGTGCATGGACACATGATGCATCAGAGCCACACCAGAGAAACCAGACGTGTGAGCCACGGGACACCCCAGACCAGTGAGTGTTGCAACCTCTCCCTTGGGTCATAGAGAAGGAGGGGCTCCCAACACTGGGGCCAGCTGTAATACATCAACTTGCCATCTCATCCAACCTCCTGGAGAATGCATCATGACGATGACAGGCCGAACCACAGCTCTCTGTCCCCAGCCTCATCTCCCTGCTTGATGCAGCCCACTTGAACTGCCTGATGTCCAAACTCGGGCTTTGAATGAGTTCTGCGTGCTCAGCAAGCCCTGTGCCTGGGACAAACTCTGCTGGTCTGTAGTCGTACCTGGGCATCCGTAGTGACTTTTCGCAACTGTGTGCTTCCCACCTTTGATTTCAGTCCTGCCTCTAGCAATCCCGCAGTCACCATTAACTGAGCCACTCTGTAACCTGTACATTATAGTGTGCAGTATGCTGGGTAGCTCGAGTGTCATGGATCTTGGTAATTTGGAATGGAGTAAAAGAATTATGATGGTCTTGCTCATGGCTATCAAGTGAGATACTCAGTGATATAAAGCTAACCCATATTGGTGCAGCTTGTGAATTTATTGTTATCCTATAAATTCAGACATTGTGGAGAGACATGACATGCCTGGCCCACGCTAACAGCTCACCTATGGAATGCGTTCTCATTGATAGTGTCTTTTGTGCTCTCCACAGGGTGGGTGAAGTTGCTGCTGTAAAAGGGGAAGCTCTCTTCCACTTCTTTTATGAATGCACTAATTCTATTTGTATGGAGTTCTGCTATCATGACTTAGGGACCTCCTTAGGGCCCCATCTCACACTAAGGAATGAGTTTCCACGTATATATTTGGTGATGATGGTGGGGAGACATTGGGGTGATAGCAATAGCCAAGCAATAGTACAGGCCAGGCACATCCTGGAGTCACTGTCAGACACACATGATGATGTGGACCCAAATTGGAGAGAGAGCCAGAGCTCCAGCTCCTGCAGGGAGTGCAGTGAAAGAATCACCCTCCTATGACTGATGAATCACAAAAAGTGGCTCTCATTCCCAAGCAGGTGGATGATGGGCACAAAACCATGCAGATAGCCTCTATTTCCCCATGGACCTGGTACATTTATCATCACATGAATGGCACAAACTACACTCTGGTGGCTGAGAGAAGTGTTGTAAGCCCACGGCCTTGTGATGGAAATTTGAAAAATCAACTGGTAGTCTGATGCCTTGTTAGGACAAAATATGATTATCTAGCCAACTGCATAACTCAACAGTTAGACTCAGTCAGCCTTGACTGGCTATGCCCAACTGCAAATTATAGATAGCCTGACCCAGCTCAGTCTGACCACACTTAGTACACACCCTGTACTTTCTGGCCACAAATATGTCTGTTTAACTAACTTGTCTCAAGGACTTTCTGTCCAGCAACTAGAAATGACCAGCACTACCCAGTAGAAATCCATCACACTTTCAAGTTCCCGTACTTCTTGCTTGCAAAACCTATATAAGCCAATTCCAAAATCAGCTCAGGGCTGATGCTTTTGGGAGTAACCCCCATCAGCCTGCTGGCATAATAAAGTTGGTTGCCTTCTAACTCCTTGGTGCAGAGCGTCTTCCATTCGGTTCGGTACTGGTTCCGCAACAGCCTGAGGTACCGTCACTCAGGCAATGGAGCTGTACTTGCACACTTCCTGCAGGCCAGTTCCCAAAAAGCCACAGCAGTGGAACAGCCAGCTCATCCACAGGGACCACTGTCCAGGAGGCCCTACCAGGTGTCAGATCCTGAGCCTACCTCAGGGAAGGCGTGGGTGTGAAGCTGGGTGAGAAAGGAGAAGACCATCATGGTGCCTTCTTCTAAGGCTGGGAGGCAGAAAGAGCCTTAGGTAAGTGAGAGGGAGCCTAACATCAACAGGACTATCCTGGGTGCTCCTGTATGGACCAACCCGCATGTGCATGTAAGGACCCAGGAACAAGAGGCATCTTATCTTGACAATGAGTTTCAGTAACATTTGAAAGAGACAAAGAATCGTCTTTTGCACACACCATATTGAGCGCAGCGAATGTGATGCATTAAGATGGCAGCATCTATATTCTTGCTATAAAGCACAAGCCTGGGCACAGGGCAAGTAGGGATGCCTAAGGATCAAAGGCATGAATCAAGTTTCTCTCTTACAATTTGGCAGTTTTTGCACTTTGCTTTCTGCCCGTTACTGTTTCACAGTTAATAAGGAGAGCTAGAAGTGGAAAGCAGGACATTCATGTGTGAGAGTTTGTGACGGGCTCTCTTGCCATCCTCAACCTTCTTTAGCCCAAGCCTAAGAATTCTTTCTCCTTGAGGTACGTACAGGCAGAGAGATGGGCTGGTCCAAGCAGCAGACAGGTGAGAAGCCAAATACTGGGTCAGTCAATTTGTATTTGTTGGGAATCGGCCTTGTGCCAAGCTTGGAGTCTCGGCAGCCAGGAATTCACAACGAGGTAAGTGCATGTGTTTCTGCTCTTTAAATAAAATAGTTTTCAGCCTCCACTGGGATTTTTATTGGCACTGGACTTTGCACAATTTATTTTTATGGAGTTTTTAAATGGGAAGTGTCTCAGTACTGTAGAGAGAAAGCAACACACAAAGAGGCCACACAGCTTCTTTAAAGTGCATGGTCCTCGTGCACTCACACTTAGTACTAGGTGTGAAGAATTCCATCCTAAAATAAACCAGGCAGCCAAGCAGAGGCCTGGACCAGGGCTGTTGTAGCAGGGTAATATCACCAAAGTGATTATTTTTCTTTGTTCCAGGCTTGTGGCCTTGTGGCCAGGGTTTGCAAGGGAAACAGTTTAATACAGAACACATAATTTATAGGATTATTCTGTAATAGTCACCCAAAGAGTCAAATACAAAAGAGTGCAAGAAATCTGTCCACACACTAAAGACCCAAAGAATCCAGCTGAGGGCCTGGATCCCACATTAATGAGGGATGTGTCCAGGTGAAGGCCTAGAGCCCATGACAATGCCCCCACCAGTCCAACTCAAGGCCTAGAGCCCCTGACAATGTTTCATGTGAGTCTGTTTCACAGATCTGCACTGGGAAGGCCGAAAGGTCAGTGTGGAAGCTAGAAAGTCTGTGCCAGCGGGATGAAGGATGTGTGCCAGCAGGCAGAGGGAGCTGCATTGGAGCCAGAAAATGATGCTCAAAGTAAGGATCAGAGCTCCCCCAAAAAGTACCACAGTGATCCTCAGCAATACTGATGTCTTGAGCTCCTCCAATGATGAGAATAGCTGGGTTCCTATCAGGAAAGCCAGCATGACAAGCTCCTCCAGGAGAACCAACAGCACCATCTCTTCCTCTCCAGTTCTCCTTTTTATGTTGTTGGCAAGAATTCTCAGGTGGGTCCTCCACATCCAGCACCATGCTGATTCAGTTTAGCTGGGTATTACAAACTGACCATCAGGCCCAGATGAGAAAATGTTGAACTTGAGCATGGGCCGCCGGGATTATGAAAAAATAACTTAGAATCCTGAGGTTCTGCATCTGGAGCCCCATGGCTTGGGATGAAAGGCCATGATGGCAACCAGTTCTTTGCACATAAGAGGCAGACAGACCCCAGCTCAGCAGAGATCAGATATTTGGCTGGCTTTAGGGCACATCCCAGGGAATTGTGGGTGTTCTGAGACTTTAAGACTCCAAAGCCAGCACTGCTCCCCAGGGCTGGTTATTGCTGCTCTCCCAGCCACCAATCAAGGGACTCCTTAGCCAGGCTGGTAAAGGGACTAAATGGACCAAGAGAGGCAGAACTAAGACGTGGGCTGGAGCACAAGAGAGTGGGACCAGGACTGCACTGCAGGGGCAAACTACGAAGCTGATTCATGGGGCCATGAAGAGAGAGGCCATTAGTAAACAGGTCTCTTGCCTTTGCTTTTGAATGTATTCGATCTGAGGGACAGAAGGTGTCCAGCCCTAATCCCAACAGGACAGAGAGGGAGGCTGCAGTGTGTCCTTTGCTCAGGGAGACACAGACAGTGAGGGCAGGGCCAGTGGGCAGAGCAACATGTGGAAGATCACCACCCTAGAGAAGTGTACAGCTACACCTCCTGGGAAAGGAAATAGGGTTCCCTGCCAGGCATGGTGCGGGATGCTTCTGTCCTTGGTTTCTTGAAGCACTCACAATTCCATGTCCCCTTTTCAAAACAGGGAAACTGAGCGAGAATTTGGGAAGTAACTCACCTGAGGTTACAAGACATTCAGTAGCAAAGCAGGGACATCTGGCCAAGCCTGAAAGACTCCCTGTGCTACTGGTAACCAACAAGAGACAGGTTTTATAAGGCCTCTGAAGAACAGTGGTGATCTGCAAATGATCCTAGACATTACAGTTCTTTGGATTTTTCACTGGTGAAACCCAGGAAAGAAACTTCTGGGTCAGTGGGTGCTAGGATTATTATAATGTCTAGCAGGTAGTCTGGCAGAGATGAAAGGGGTCCTCAGGGTCCTGACCTGCCTAGCACTTACATTTAATGTTCATGCAGGGATATCTTGAGTGGAAATTCTTCCTTGGAGTGTCCTTGGTGCAGCCATCTATGTGGGGACCTCACACTCTGTCACATTTCTACTTGTTTATGCTGCTCTTGTTTGTGAAATGGTGACCATACGCAGAACCCTAAGGTAGGTGCTATGAGGCAACAAAGAACCATTCATCACACACAGGCCCGCCTTGAGGGGGGATCTCTCTCCTGCACCACACAGGGGAATGGCTCTCTTGCAGGGCAACTTGGCTACCGATCTGAGGCTGCCACTATCCTCTGTGCCTGGACCGAGTTGGCCTTGCAGCTCACCTCCAGAAGGGCAGAAACAAGTGGGCCAGCACAGAAGGCTGGGGCTGAGTGCTGCAGATTTTGTCATAACTTGGAGGGAACTGGACCCTCCACTACCACTGTGGTCAGTGGACCAAGTGTTTGTCCACATAAAATATCCTGGCTTCACTTTCCCAGGCAATGTCTACACATTGACCACTCCAGCTGAGACTTGTCTCCAGTGACCCAGCAGCTACTGCCTTCACATTTTTGTTGATGAAATCTGTGGGCAATGGTCTGTCTGATTCCCCACCCCAGCCCCTCAAGGACACAACAGGCAGCTTAGGCCACTAACCCTAAAGAACCAGTTCTCAGTGGCTCAGGCGGTGGGGATGCCTCAGACAGCAAGTGGCTGTCCTTGTGAGTAAGCAAGGGCAGCACAGGCGTTGTAAGTGCCTCAGAGGACCGGCAGGGGGCGGCGCTGCTTAGCAGGAGATGCTCCAGTGCGCAGGCTCATGGGCGCCGCTGGGATTGGACGGCGGCGAGGCGGGGGCGAGAACACGACTGGTGAGGCGGTTGGAGTGGCTGACGCTGCGGGCCGCGCGAGGGCAGGTGAGGGCTGCCGAGGGCGAGGGCGGGTGAGGACAGTTGGGACAAGGGGCAGGTGAGGCCCCAGGAGGCTCGGCGAGGGAGATGGCGGTGAGTCCATGGCGTGGGGCGCCCGGGCCTTGCTGACCGCAGTGAGGCGTGGGGCGCCGCGGCCTGGAGGATGACGGGGAGGAGCCGCCCCTGGGCACTTAATTGGTCCTGGACTCCACCCGGACCCAGAGCAGACCCAGAGCGAAGGCAGGAGAACCAAGTGTACTGGTTCCTCCGTGGGCGCCAGGGCCGCACTGGAGGCCGGGGTGTCCTCGGGGGCGGGGGGACAGCAAAGTCGCCCCCTGGTGGGGAGGGTTGCTCCCACTGGGTGGCACCGGCCTCAGGAAGACGCTTGGTCTGGCCTGGGCTTCCGTTGTGAAGCTGTGGAATCTACTAGTGGTTTCAATGTTAGGGTCCAGATACCTAAAAGCCCCCCACCCCTCACACACAACATGTGGGATGGTCAAAACTACGGAGAAGGTTTCAATACAGGGCACTCATTACAGGGAAAGACACGTCCCATTGTCGTTATCCTCTCCCACCTTACTCCCCTCTGTTTGAACGCTGCCATTATCCTTCTCAAAATATACCCCTTACTTTACACAGTTATCCCATCAATTTTGCCACTTTCTGAAGCAGTTCTGGAAGCCCTCTTTTCTGAGTGTCTTTGGTTGTGCTGCCTCAGTGTCCCTTATTGATTCAAAACGTTTTCCTTTCATGGCCACTTTGACTTGGGAAAGAGCCAGAAGTTGCACAGTGTCAGAGCCACTGAATAAGTTGGATGAGAACACCCGATAATGTTTTTATGAGCCTGTTTTTCCCTTGGGTGGTATTTATTAGCAGCATTCACTGTAATTTTGATCACATTATGTAAAGACACTCACAAAAGAGAACTTCCAGAACTGCTTCAGAAAGTGGCAAGAAAGGTGGGATAACTGTGTAAAGCAAGGGGTATATTTTGAGAGGGATAATGGCAGTATGTCTTACTATAATTTTAAAAATTTAAGCACTCATATTTTTTAATCACACTTTTTACATACAAAATAGTTGGAAATAGTGTTAGATCTTAACAGTAACATTCAGCTATTTTTGTTTTTTTCCCAATATCTATTCATTTGTCTGTCACTCCATGTATCAGCCACCTGGTAGATTTATTTTTGTTGTGATAAAATGCACTT